TGATTTGGAGTTGGCTACCATAGTTCACGCATTGAAGATTTGGAGGCATTACTTGTATGGCGTATCTTGTGAGGTGTTCAATGATCATCATAGTCTTCAGCATTTGTTCAAGCAAAAGGATCTTAATTTGAGGCAACAGAGATGGTTGGAGTTGCTTAAGGATTATGATATCACTATATTGTACCATCCGGGAAAGGCCAATGTGGTGACCGATGCTTTGAGCCGAAAGGTAGTGAGTATGGGGAGTTTGACATATATTCCCAGTTGGGGAGAGACCTCTTGCAGTTGATGTTCATGCCTTGGCCAATCGGTTTGTGAGGTTAGATATTTTGGAGCCCAGTCGGGTATTGGCTTGTGTGGTTTCTCGGTCTTCCTTATATGATCGTATCAAAGAGCGCCGGTATGATGATCCGCATTTGATTGTCCTTAGGGATAGGGTTCGGCATGATGATGCTAGAGATGTGACCATCGGTGATGCTGGGGTGTTGAGGATGCAGGGCCAGATTTGTGTGCCCAATGTGGCTGGGCTTCGAGAGTTGATTCTGGAGGAGGCCCATATCTCGCGGTATTCCATTCATTCAGGTGTCGCGAAGATGTATCAGGATTTGAGGCAGTACTATTGGTGGAGAAGAATGAAGAAAGATATTGTGGGATTTTTAGCCCGGTGTCTCAATTTTCAGCAGGTGAAATATGAGCATCAGAGACCGGGTGGTTTGCTTCAGCAGATGGATATTCCTGAGTGGAAGTGGGAGAGGATCACTATGGGCTTTGTTGTTGGACTTCCACGGACTTTGAAGAAGTTCGATGCTATTTGGGTGATTGTGGATCGGCTAACCAAGTCTGTGCACTTTATTCCTGTGTGTACTACTTATTCTTCAGAGCTGTTGGCAGGGATTTATATCTGGGAGATTATTCGTTCGCATGGTGTTCTGGTTTCCACCATTTCAGATAGAGGTACTCAGTTTACTTCGCAATTTTGGAGGGCCGTGCAGAGAGAGTTGGGTACTCAAGTGAAGCTGAGCATATCTTTTCATCCTTAGATGGACGGGCAGTCTGAGCGCACTATTTAGATATTGGAGGACATGTTGCGTGCTTGTGTCATTGATTTCAGAGGATCATGGAATGAGTTCCTACCGCTTGCAGAGTTTTCTTATTACAATATCTATCAGTCGAGTATTCAGATGACTCCATATGAAGCTTTGTATGGGAGGCGATGTAGATCTACAGTTGGTTGGTTCAAGCCCGGTGAGGCTAGGCTATTGGGGACTAATTTGGTGCAGGATGGTTCGGAGAAGGTAAAGGTGATTCCGGAGAGGCTTCGTACAGCGCAATCGAGGCAAAAGAGTTATGCTGATAGGAAGGTTCGAGATGTGTCCTACATGGTTGGTGAGAAGGTTCTGTTGAAGGTTTCACCCATGAAGGGTGTTATGAGATTTGGGAAGAAAGAGAAATTGAGTCCTCGATTCATTGGGCCTTTTGAGGTGCTTCGAGGGATTGGAGAGGTGGCTTACGAGCTTGCTTTGCCTCCTAGCTTGTCAAGTGTGCATCCGATAATTCATGTTTCTATGCTCCGAAAGTATATTGGGGATCCGTCTCATGTTTTGGATTTCAGTACGGTTCAGTTAGATGGTGATCTGACCTATGATGTGGAGCCAGTAGCTATTTTGAGTCGTCAGGTTCGAAAGTTGAGGTCAAAGGATATAGCTTAAGTGAATGTGCAGTGGAGAGGTCGGCCCATGGAGGAGGCTACCTGGGAGACTGAGCGAGAGATGCAGAGCACATATCCTTACCTATTTGAGGCTTCAGGTATGTTTCTTGGCTCGTTCGAGGACGAACGTTTGTTTAAGTTAGGGAGGATGTGATGACCCGGCCAGTCGTCTCATGAGTTACTGCTCCGTTTCTCCCATTCCTACTTCTTTATGCTTCGTTATCCGTATTTTGTGGTATCAGGTTGGTCGGATCGAGTCCGGAATGACTTTGGTGAAGTTTGAGACATTTTTGTCTCTTTTAAGGGAGTTTAAGTTGGAAAAGTCAACCGTGTATTGAATTATGTGTTAGAGGGCTCGGATGTGAGTTTCGATGGTTCGGTTAGCTTCGGGAGGTGATTTATGGTTAGGATCATGATCGAAAAACGTTTTGGAGGTTCGGAGTAGAATTAGGCTTGAATTGGCGAAGTTGAGATTTTGGCGAATTCCAGTTGATAGGCGAGATTTTGATAAGGGGGTCGGAATGGAGTTCTAAGAGTTGCAGTAGCTTCGTCGTGTCATTTGGGATGTAGGTGCAAAATTTCAGGTCATTCAGACGTGGTTTGGTTGGGTTTTTGATAAAAAACAGATTTCGGAAGATTTTAGAAACTTAGGCTTGAATCCGAGGTGTTTTGATTGATTTGGTGTTGTTTGAAGTGTTTTGATGATTGGAACAAGTTTGAATAAGGTATTGGGTCATAGTTGTGCTTTTGGTTGAGGTCTCGGGGGCCTCGGGATGATTTTGGGTGGTTGTCGGAGAGGTTGGAAGGTTATTGCAGCTGCTGAGATTTTTCTGCTTCTGGTGTTTTTGCACATGCGGTTTGGGGACCGCAGGTGCGGAGCCGCACGTGCGGAGGGAGGGGCGCAAATGCGGAATGGAGAGGTAGAGCCAGGAACCGCAGATGTGGTAAAGGGACCACACATGCGGAGTCGCAGATGCGGCGAGTGGACCGTAGATGCGGTATTTGGTCCGTTAAGTTATTTCCGCAGAAGCGGAGGGTGGACCGCAAATGCGGTACCGCAGAAGCGGGTTTTGGACCACAGATGCGGGTGTCCTTGTGCAGAAGCTATATAAGCTTTCCTTCACGATTTTTGAAGGTTTTCACCATTTTTTGACTTCGGCTTGAGAGCTTTTGGATGATTTGGAAGGGAGAATTCAAGGGAACTTTGTTAAGGTAAAGATTTTGGACCTAAAACGCATTTCTATGGTAGTATTTCATGGATTAAGACTGTAATTAAAGGAATTAAAGGGCTAAAAATGGAGGATTAGGGCTTGAGTTTAATAGGTCTTTAAATGAGGATTTGTGGGTTAATTTGGACTCCGATTTTAGAGTTTTTGATATGTATGACCTCGTGGGGAGATGAGGAATCTATTGGTATAAAAATTTCTGAATTCCGAGGCGTGGGCTCGAGGTCAGGTTTTGGTAATTTTGGGATTCGTGTAGTATTTTGATTGTTTTCGCTTTGGCTTCGTTCCCTTAGCATCTTTTAACGTCCTCGTTCTGATTTTGGATAGATTCGACGTGCGTGGAGGCTGATTCGAGGGGCAAAGGCGTCGCGAGCTAGAGATTTAGCCGGTTCGAGGTGAGTAATAATTGTAAATGATGTTCTGAGGGGTTGAAACCCTGGATTGCACATCATAGTGCTATGTTGAGGTGAGACACACGCTTGAAGACGGGCGTGGGGTCATGCACTATAGGGGATTGTGACTGCGTCCATCCCGGTTGATGATTTTTACTGCGTATTTGACTGAAAACTATTTGTTATCATCATTATTTAGGCTGAATGCCATATTTGGGCTTCGTGCCAACTATTTGAATCCTTTGGGGATTTTTATTATTATTTCCTCACTATTTTGATTCATTACTTGAACTCAGTCATGTTAATTTCTACTGTTTTACTACTCAACCATTTTTACGTAGTTTTAAGACTTAAATGATATTTCAAATGATGTTTGGGCTGAGAAACACTATTTTACTACTACCCGAGGGGCTTGTGAGTATTTTGACTGAGTAAAGCGAGGGCCTATGTTGTGAGGAAACACTAATACTGATTTGAGGCCGAGGGCCTGAGACATGTATGTCACGAGGTGGTTTGATTGATATGAGGCCGAGGGCCTAGTTTGATGCCATGAGATGGCTTGTTATTGAGGGGCCCCTCCAAGAGTCTGCACACCCCCAGTGAGCGCGGGTACCCATTGTGATGTGAGATTGAGCCCGAGGGGCTTGTACTGATCTGAGATGTTTCCCGAGAGGCGGATTTGTTGATATTGTACCCGAGGGGAAAACTTCGATTTGTTTACTTTATCTTAATTATCTGTCAATTACCTGGTTACTGGTTGAAAGAGGATTTACTTGACCTTTACTGGTTTTACTAGTTTTACTGATTTTAAATGGTCTTTACTACTTCATTATAGAATGATTTGTGCCTTACGTGTTTTCTTACTTTCAGACGTTATTTACATTTGTTACTCACCTGTACCCTGTGTGCAGATTCAGGCGTAGCTGGTTCCGCTCCCGAGTGCTGATCCCTCTAGTATCAGGCAAGCGTTCGGAGACTACGAGGTAGCTGTTGACGTCCGCAGCCCCGTACCTCCACTCTTTTATCATTTCTATTTCCCTTAAAACATTTGTACTAGTTTATGGATTTAGCAGACTTGTATTATGGCATATAGACGCTCATGACTTGTGATACCCCGTTTAGGGCTGTGTCGGGTTGTATTTCCGCCTTTTATTGATATTTTTCCGCTATTAGTATATTTAAATCATGGTTAGACTATTTTTATGTTGGTTAACTATTTTTAAAAGTGAATTGGATTTAACTTGCTGGCCTTGTCTTTACAAGAGGCGCCATCACGACCGAGTTCGAGGTTTGGGTCGTGACAACTCAAGATTCTCATTTTGAGAGAAATATAATTGTTAGAGAAGAAGATTTGTTATTGGAAGCAAAATTGAACAATGAACAACGAAAAGCATATAATATAATTCTTGATAGAATATTTAAAAATAAACCTGGAGCTTTTTTTATAGATGGTCCGGAGGAAAGGAAAAACTTTTTTGTATCGTGCATTACTTGATGCTATACAATCAAAAGGATTTGTAGCTTTAGCAACAACAACCTATGGTGTCTCATGTAATATTATAAACAAAGTTAGCTTGCATTATTGATACAAGATGCCAAATTAATCGTATGGGATGAAGTATCAATGGCCAAAAAGAATTGATAGAGGCTTTTGATTTACTATTGAAAGATCTAATGGATACGAAGATACTATTTGGTGGGAAAGTTGTTGTTCTTGGTGGTGATTTCAGGCAAACTCTTCCAGTTGTTCGTAGTGGAAAAAAAGATGAATTCATACAAGAAAGCTTGCTATGTTCTGACATTTGGAATCAACTCGAAAAATTGCGATTATCAGTAAATATGCGAGCGAGAACAGATCCTGCTTTTTGTGAATATTTGATGAAAAAAGGGAGCGAAAAAGAAAAAACAAATTGGCAAGGTAAGATAATCCATAATTGTTTCATTGTTCCTTTTACTAGTGAAAAAGAATTGTTGAATCTTTTATTTAGAGTAACTTATCCAGGTTTTTATGCATCTCCTTGTAATATGTCTTCTACATCTTCTCGTGTTATTATGACAACAACAAATAACTTTGTTGATGAAATAAATGATATGCTCATAACTCAATTATTGGGTGATTCTACGACATATGTTGCATTTGATGAAACTACTAAAACAAATGATCAAAGTCAATATGAAGATTTTTTGCATAGCTTACACCCTGCTGGTTTACCCCCCATATAAATTAACTTTGAAAAAACATTGTCCTGTTATGTTATTGCGAAATTTAAATCCGTGCGAAGGCTTATGTAATGGTACACGACTTGTATGTTGTAATTTTGAAGGAATATTATAAGTGCTAAAATTGCAAGTGGGATTTAAAAAACACACATGTATTTATCCCGAGAATACCGTTGTTATCTTCACAAGATGAAAAATACCTATTCCTTTCAAAAGAACACAATTCCCTATTAGAATATGTTTTGCTATGACTATAAATAAAGCTCAAGGTCAGACGCTAGATTTTATTGGAATTTATTTATGAGAGCCTGTTTTTTCCCACGGTCAACTTTATGTTGCTTTATCCCGAGCAAGAAACTCGAATTCTGTGAAATTGTTGATCTGACTGCCAACATTTGATAGAAATGATGATCATACAACACACAATGTAGTATACGAAGAAATCATTCAGGTAGTTGATATCTTATAAATTGACCGTTGTACTATCAGAAGCCAAGGTATGACATTTGTAAACTCATTATTACATACAACAAGAGATGCAGCAGGTGTTCTTCTCTCATTATTACATACAACAAGAGATGCAGCGGGCGTTCTCTATTCATACTCAGGATATGCAGTTAATACTTGCTATTCACATCATCTTAAGGTCTACTTAGCTTCTTAGGTCTTCTTGTTTTGAAGATTTTCGGGTATTTGTATCAGAAAGAGGCATTTAAGATTTCTTGGGACACCCATTCCTGATTTGCATAACAATATGATCTAAATCATTTGTATCAAATATGAAATAGCTAACTAACTCTACAGTAGTGTAGATTTCAAAAATATGAATAACAAGTGTTGATTAATAGAGTAGAGCAAAAAAACATGATCCTTCCTTATTGAAACTCTATTCTTCTACTTCCTTAGGCAATGTCTTGTTTCAATACTGAATTTTTCTTCCTTTACTATATCTTCATATGTTATATGGGGCTTAGTGGTACTACTCTAGATTTGTAGCTCGCAATTTTTTTTGTTTTGCTGATACGGTTAGCTCTTCATAAGAGTAGACTTTTGCTGAAAATTCTATACTTATGCGTGTATCTTCACTTGCAACTTTAATATTTATTGGTTACTAAAACAAAATTTCCATTAACGAGCTTCCTAAATAGGTGCAATTGATCTCTTTTAGCTTAATTAAAAAATTCTATAATATTCTCCGCATATCATTCCTTTGTCTTCTTGAAATAAGTAAAATTGATCTCTTTCACATACTTTAAATCAAATACTATACAGGAAGAATTTCTAAATATGCAGGATCAGTACCAACAGATAGTATGTGTGTGCAAATTGGCCTTTCTTGTGCATTAGTTGTATATGAAGATTTTGAATCTCCAAAAATCGTGAACCTTGTAGCTTACTGATTCTCTCGTGTCATCTCTTAAACACAAAGGAAGGAACGAACACTGAAGCAATGGAACACTCAGCTGCACTTCTGTGTCAGTTTCGCTCAAGGATATGCTTCATCAGGTGTTTCCACGCAGTTTTATCTCATTCACTGTGTTTTTCTTGTATGTATGTGTATATATACATGTATATGTGTGTATGTCTCTATGTGTTTGTATGTCTTAGGTGAATGGAAATGTATAAACTAAGTACCTTATTTATTGGAATTTCTTTTAGGTTAATTGAGGTGACTTTCAGGCAATGAGAGAGATTGAATTGCAAATAGTGAAGTGTATGGAAGTTGAAAGTGCTTTGACTACTCGACAATTGGAGTTGATGAGAACTGCATATAGACTGCAATTTGAAATCGATGTCTTCATGAGAGTTTATGGTATTTATGTTAAGAGTATAGAATCTTTGCGTAGCATTATAATCTGTTTCTTTTTTTTTGGTAATTTATTTTTTGTGTTCAACTGTCAAATTACTTGCTTTCAGATTCTTTTTTTTATATATATGTGTAACGACTCAACCGGCCGTTTTGAGCTTTTGCACTTTGCTCACCAGTTCTCGAGCATGGCTTGCCCCATGTGATGTATTATGACTTATGTAAATCGTTGGTTTGGTTTTTAGGGTAATCAGAATGAATTTGGAAGAACAGTTCTCAGTTGAAGCTTGAAATTTGAAAGGTTTGACCAAGTTTTGACTTTTTAGTATTCGATCTCGTATTTGGATTTCTATGATTTGGTTAGCTCTGTTAGGTAATTTTGGACTTGGGAGCCCATCCGGAATATATTTTGGAGGTCCGTGGTAGATTTAGGCTCGAATTGGCAAAATTGGAAATTTGGCATTTTCCGATCGACAGTGGAAATTTTGATATCAGTGTCGGAATAGAATTATGGAAATTGGAGTAGGTCCTTTGTGTCATTTTTGATGTGTGTGCAAAATTTCAAGTCATTCGGACGAGGTTTGATAGACTTTTTGATCTAATTCAGAATTCAGAAGTTTTGGAATTCTTAGGCTTGAATCCGAGGGTGATTCGATGTTTTGATGTTGTTTTGAGCATTCCTATGGTTGAAACAAGTTTGATTATGTTATGGGGTGTGTTGGCATGTTTGAACGGGGTCCCATGAGGCTCGGATAGGTTTTGGAAGAGTTTTTGAAAGATTTTGGCATTTTGAGCATAAGCATGTAATGATCCAAAGGTCCATTTTTAGTTCTAGAGATCGAAATTTGATTTTGAGACTTCCGAAATTTTGATAATGAATTATAGGAGTGATATGGAAAGTTTGGTCTAATTTCATCAAATCGCAATTGGGTTTTTGACGCTAATCATGAGTTAATTGTTTAACGAGCGAAATGGGTATCGCACTGAGCAAAGGAGCTCCAAATTGAGTTTCGATTGACGGACTACGTTCGTATCATTATTTGTGACTCATAGGAACAAGAATCATCGAATTTCGAGTTTGTATAATGGAGTTAGAGCCTTTTTAGTTAAATTAAAGACTGATGGTGCATCAAATCTGGTGTGTACCTTTAGCGACCAGATTGGACCTCTTTTAGCGACGGGAATTGGCTTTTAGCGACCATAATCGGATTTATCAATGCTGTTATGTTTTTTAGCTCATTTTGACATTTTTTTGGTGAAAGAACACGGCTTGAGGCGATTTTTGAGCAAGAAATCATGGAAAATATTGAGGTAAGTCACTTGTGATCATTTATACTCCATAATATTGAATTATCATCGAATAATCCGACTAGAATACATGCTTTTGAGGTGTAAATTGGGGATTTGGACCTAGGGATTTCAAAATAAGATTTGAAGATTTGGAGGCCGAATTGTTATCAGAATTTAGTACTTTTAGTATGGTTGGACTCGTGGTTGAATGGGCTGTCGGATTTTGTAAGTTTCGTCGGATTCCGAAGCGTGGGCTCGGGGGTCGGGTTTGAGCAATTTCGGGATTTTGATGTTAAATTGGATATTTTCGAGTGGGCTTCGCTCCCTTAACATATTTTAATGATTATGTACTGATTGTGGCTAGATTTGGAGCATCCGGAGGTCGATTCATGCGGGCGAGGCATCGTAGGCTAGAATTTGGACCGGATTAAGGTGAGTAATGATTGTAAATGATCTTCTGAGGGTTTGAAACCCCAGATTGCACATCGAAGTGCTATATTGAGGTGAGGCACACGCTTGATGACGAGCGTGGGGTCGTGCACAATTGGGGACAGTGACATGGTCCATCCCGATTGATGATTTTACCGCATATTTGACTGAAATCTAATTGTTATCATTATTATTTGGGCTGAATGCCTTACTTGGGCTTCGTGCCAGCTATTTGAATCCTTCGGGGATTTTTGTTGATATTTCCACACTATTTTGACTTTATACTAGAACTTAGTCATGTGATTTTCCATTGTTTTCAAAACGCAACAATATTTACTTTGCTTTAACACTTGAAATGATATTTTAAATAATATTTTGGGTTGAGCATCATGTTTTACTATTTCCCGAGTGGCTTATATGATTTTTGACTGAGTAAGGCCGAGGGAGTGTGTTATGAGGATATCTTTTTGGGTCGGGCTGCACACCGCAATGGTGATACACTGATTCTGATTATGAGGCCGAGGGCCTAAGATATGTACGCCACGAGGTGGCTTGTTGATATGAGGCCGAGAGCCTAGAGATGATGCCACGAGTTGGCTTGATATTGCGCTTGGGCCGTAAATGGTGCCTCCAGGAGTCTGCACACCCCCAGTGAGTGCGGGTACCCATTGTGATGGGAGATACAACCCGAGGGGCTGGTATTGTTCTATGTGATTGCCCGAGGGGCTGGTATTGTTCAGACATATTGCCCGATGGGCGGATTTGTTGACATTGTGCCGAGGGGCGAACCTTATGTGCTTATCTTTCTTATTTGCATGTCATGTACCTACTTAATTGTGTATTTGTGCCTGAGGGGCAGATTTATGTGCTTATCTAAACTAATTGGTTTGCATTCATTTGCGCAATTGATGAAAAAGTCATTTTCAAAGACGTTTAAACTGAGCTAAGATATTTTAAGAGATTTTACAGCTTTATTGGTTTCTTACTGTTTTTTGAACTGCTTCTATACAGCATGTTGATGCACTTTTCTGTGATTTCTTACCATTCAGATTTTAGTTATGATTATTACTCATTGAGTTGGAGTACTCACTTTACTCCCTACACCTTGTGTGCAGATTCAGGTATTTCTGAACCCGGTAGCGGGTATTGGCTGATCAGAGGTAGAGTCATCGGAGTTTAGCAAGATAGCTGTCGGTGTTCCTAACACTGTTTTTCTCCCTCTTCATTTCATTAGTCTGTATTTTGTACATTTCTGAATTTTTAGTGATATTTAGACTCTTGTAAATGCTCGTGACTTGTGACACCCCAATATCGGGTTGTGTTTGGGCTGTATTCCGCACATTATACTATATTTTATTTAGTCTTTAGCTTATTTACTCATTCTTAGATTGATTGTTAGTGTTTAACTGTTTAAAAATTGAATTGGGACTAGTTGGCTGGCCTCGTCTTCACGAGATGCGCCATTACGACCGGGTCC